GCGTGTGCGCGTGTGTGTGTGTGTATGTGTGTGTGTGTGTGTATATATATGTGTGTGTGTGTGCTTGTGTACTTATATGTAGCTCATATCAGCAAAACAAACTCGGTGCTTACCTCAACACCTAAAGGTCCCAGGCAGTGCTCGAAGGACTCGCGCCCTATCCCACCCTTCGGCGAGTCAAAGTCTGACAGCGACTTAAACTGCTCAAACAGCGCTTCTAACTCCACCTGTGCCACACCAAGCGATGGAGAGTGTGTATGAGTGTTGGCGGAGGATGGTGTACACATATGATACTAATGCTAGTACGATGCTTAAACTGCTCAAACAGCGCTTCTAACTCCACCTGTGCCACACCAAGCGGTGGAGAGTGTTTATGAGTGTTGGCGGAGGATGGTGTACACATATGATACTAATGCTAGTACGATGCTTAACCTGCTCAAACAGCGCTTCTAACTCCACCTGTGCCACACCAAGCGATGGAGAGCGTATGAGTGTTGACGGGGGATGGTGTACAACTATGATACTAATGTTAGTACGATGCTTAAACTGCTCAAACAGCGCTTCTTACTCCATCTGTGCCACGCCAAGCGATGGAGAGTGTGTATGAGCAAGCGTCAGTTCTCAAAACAGATCAGTGCAAAGGTACCGCTCCCCAACGCAAATCAGACATTTGAGCTTGGTAGCTAACAGTTATAGGGTTGCAGAGTTCACCTCTACAACCGTTGGCACATCTACACGGCTCAATATCATACCGCGACACGCCGATGCAGACAGACACGCTTATATCTACGTACAAGTGCACACTGACATGAATACGAGCGTTGGACGAGCGCTCGGTCTGGAAGGGTGCGTATGCACGAGCACCGAAGTGAGATAGAGGCCATGAGGTGTAGATACAGACATGCTTGACAGATAGTATACTGCACCCTTGATGCACAGAACAAGGTGTCAACGTATGGGGCGTGTACTGTAGTGAGAAAGAGGCCATGAGGTGTAGTTATAGACATGCCTGACAGATAGTATACAGCACCCTTGATCCATCCACAGCATAAGGTGTCAACGTATGCGGCGTGTCCTGTGCACACACCATACCTGATCAAAGTGTGTGGTCTGCTGAAGCTCCCATAGTGTCCCCATGGTCAGAGGTGCAGTCACCTCAAATTTACCGCCAGGATACATTGCCGGTAGCAGCACTGAGCGTGGATTCGCGAGCGGTGGGATGGGTATGCGGATCTTCAGGAAGGCATGTGTTTTGGTGTGTCGGTTCTGGGTGTCGTCGTGGTGATGTGATGTGATGTGATGTTTTGTGGATTCGAGGTTAGTAGGTTGCTTGGGCATAGGCATATATGCTTCGCCATTGAGATAGTATAGGTCATGGATGTTCTCAATCTTTGAATTCCGTATTGAAAAAGGCAAACCTATACTGGTGTGCGTATTTTAGCCAAGTAGAAACGATAGATATGAAACTGTACGTACTTGATTAACCGCACACACGGATATGTGCGTCTGGCACATACATATTAGATAACTACACATCTACATATGCGAGTACAAAGAAAACGGCCATACTGAATTGTAAACATAGCTATATTCATACTCGGGTATGCTCCCTGGGGGTACACCTGCGATTCTGAGATGCACATCAGATATGTAACTAAGCACATAGTTAAACATATTCATATAAGTTCGTCTCCACACTGCCGTTGTACTCTCAGTGCACACACATCGAGCGAATTCACCGAAAAGGCATAGGACAGACGAGTGGAGCCAGGAGGTCCGATAATTTAAGAACAGAGGTTACTATGGATGCATCACACCACTATATAGCCTGCGATGAATCTCGATACCAAACGGATACACGGATGAATTGACTCAGCACGTCCGATATGAAAGACAATCCACGAAACAATCAAGATACACTTCAGGCATGGATATTTATACAGCTTGGGGTTTTAGGGTTTAGGGTTTAGGGTTTTTAGGATTGCAAGTATGCACATGTATCCAATTTGCATCACCCAGTGCACAGACAAAACATAGTAAACACTTCCAAGTACGTATATGTATGAACCAGTGCACATATAAAACATGAGGTAACACTCCGAGTATGCTAATGTATACATCTGTATAAGAATCGTCCTTCTATCAGAGGATTTGCACCCATTCCGCAGTACATACGTTTGACTCACAGAGTTCGCAGATGTCATAGTCCACACAATTGGCACATTTGTACCGAACTCCTCTGATGGGAGACACAGTACACGTGTTACAGGTGATGCCACGGTGGACATAGCCCTCTGCGGGCGTATTGAACAAGCTGTGAGTTTAGTTGGCTCTGTTTGACTTAGATTGAGATACGAACCGGTGGTGTAGCTGGTGTAGTTGAACAAGCTGTGAGTTTAGTCGGGTCTGTTTGACTTAGATTGAGATACGAACTGGTGGTGTAGCTGGTGTATTGAACAAGCTGTGAGTTTAGTCGGGTCTGTTTGACCTAGAGCTGCAGGTGTATTGAACAAGCTGTGAATTTAGTTGGGTCTGTTTGACCTAGAGCTGCAGGTGTATTGAACAAGCTGTGAGTTTAGTTGGGTCTGTTTGACTTAGAGTTGCAGGTGTATTGAACAAGCTGTGCGTTTAGTTGGGTCTGTTTGACTTACATTGAGATACGAAACGGTGGTACAGCTGGGGTAGTGGAGTGATCTAAGCCGTGATATGGTGTGCTCTGGTGCGCAATTTTCAAGCTGAAACTCCGTCCATGTGTAGCGTTGGGTGTATCTGGATATAAGTAGGCCACAAGCAGCAGACACTCAGGACACTCTGCGGAAGTGCATACAACGATACATAGATTGACGTAAAATGACTCACAGATTGGTTTAAATAATTAATTACACTATACATACAGTAGTGCGCATAGTCCACCAACCCATATTGCTTAGGCGTACCTTTCCTGGCCTGGTCCTCGGCCAGTGTATACAATAGATTGAGAAGGTTATGGCTCTCCTTCTCGTAGCTCATACCCGTACCTCGCTTCTTATTCTTGGTCACAACACCATTGGAGGATCCTAAATAAAACAAGTGAACATGATTCTACGGCATCAGATTGGGAAAATGAAAATGAATTGGCTATTGTACAGGTGTTCTGTTATGTGCTATCATGAAAGTACAAAAACTCAAATGATATCTATCTATATATATATATATATATATATACATATATATATATGTTGTGTGTGTGTGTGTGTGTATGTATGTATATATATATATATATATATATAGTGTGTGTGTGTGTGTGTGTGTGTGTGTGT